GTGGTGGATCATGACCATTGGCTGGTACTTCTGCGCAGTTACAGTGGTCGGCACCTCAAGCTGGAGAGAAAGAATGGAATTGGCTTCAATCGGAAAGTGCGCTTGAAGTCACATGATTTTCTGTCAATCAGGTCGTGGCGGTCAAACATGAGAAGCACAAGTCCATGTTGTTACTTGGGTGCACTAAAACCTGATCAAATGGCATGACGACCCCGGTGTCAGCAGTCCACGACTTGCAACCATTTGTGCATGAAGAAGCAAACTATATTCTAAATAGACTGCATACGAAAACGATGGTGCTTTTCATTGGTCCTTTTTTTTGGGAGGCGGAAAGGACGAGGTGCCGTGTACATCAGGTCTGCGACAACAGGTTTTGACAACCCGCCCCCCATGTACATACTACTACTATTCCTATCCCTAGAATTATTACAATTATTATCACTACCATTATTGTTGCTATTATTGTTGCTCCTATTCTTCTTATTCTTACTATTATTTGTATTATCAGTACTCTTATTGTAATTCTCACTATAACTCAGGACATGTGTGGCCAATCTAGCCATCGGCTGGCCCTTGGTGGCACCTCTGGCATGCTGGAAAGGCCTGCGCAATCTGCGTGTCCACTTTGGCAGCGAGCTTGCAGAACAAGATCTATTTTCTGGATGCTCTATGCGCAGGATTTTCTTGGTTTTTGTAACTTCTAAATGGTTTCATAAACGCCCATCCATTGTCTGCATGCCCTATATACAGGGAGTTTTGCATGCGCTTCTTCAGAATTCTGTCGCGGAGCTTGTGATCCGGCTTGGGGGGTGCTTTCTCTGGCGGTCTGCTCGGCATTACCAGTTCTCAAGGTTTTTTTCGACTGTGTTTCCATCATGAGTTGTGCTTTGCTTGCGCGCGATGCTTTTGTTTCATTAGCTTGATATTCGAGCAATATTCAAGGCCGTGAAAATTGAGCATTTTGAGGTTTGCGTGGTTGAGTCCAGACAATGTTTATCCTTGATCCAAGGCAAGGTGATGGCCATCGCAGTCCTTGCAGGGCTGGAGCGGAATTTGACCAACTCCTCGCTCTACAAGATTGGAGGTCTTCTTTGGATCATGACATGGGGTAGGGGCTCTGGTAGGGCACCCGAGGTAAAGCTGAGGTTTTTACCAGGGTCATTATTTATTAATATTATTATTATTGATTACTATTTGTTACTATTATTGTCATTTTTAATTAATATTATTTATTACTATTATGAGTCTTGTGTTTTTGCAGCTGTAGATTTACTTAGAGTGCCATGGCTTCCTGAACGAAGCCGCCCATCATCGGCATCACGGCTTAGCAATGTTTGGGTTTGTCTGCCTTCTTGGATATGTGGTAGGGGACTTTCTCAAGATCAAAAGGCTCTTTTGGGTGCATCCCTGCCGCATACAACTAGTCTCTTTGGAATTGGGCCGTGTTCGAATTATATTGAGACATATTGAGAGGTCTACACCACTTCTGCCCACTGATTGTACAACATGACTGTCAGGTTCATGTGGCCTGCCAATCCTCGAAACCCCATTCAATTCATCTAAGTTCTGACAGAAAGCCCAAGCACTGCAACCCATTCCAGGTATCCTAAACCTCCTCCACATACCCAGGTCCATGTAACAAGCCTTATGCACGCTGCCCCTTGCCACGTGCCATGCCGTTGTAGCAACCTCAGCCTGAATCCCGGTTTGTAGGTTCCTTGAAGACTGCTCTGCACGGCTTCAATGTGCCCTTGGCTTTCCTGATGGCGGCCGTGTGTGGTGTCGATGAGTTGGGGCGGAGTTGCCTCTTTGGGCCACCTGGCCGCATCCTTTGGCAGTGGTTTGGGGTTCAGGGGCTCAGGGTCTTCAGCGTCATCCGACTGCATCGATGCTCCTTTCCTTATACACAGAAGCCCAGTGGCTAAGCTTCAGAAGTTTGTCGGGCTTCTACATGTACCCCCCAACCACCGTCTAGTAAAGTCCACGTACCCACTGCTAGGGCCCCTATCATCCCTGTCTGAGGGCACGTTGAGGGTGTAGGTAAAACAGCCACTGAAAAGAAAGTTGGACTTTTGTTAGGCCTGGTACTGGACAACTAAGTAGGCCTGTCATACCAAAATTGTTTTTTCACACTGACATCGCAGTGTCCGCTCTATAGATTTGCATGCCCGGCAGAGAATGGTGTAAAGGTCCCTGGAGGCTGCACTCCACTTCTCAGCCCTGGCGATTGGTGCGCTTACCACTTCGAAGAGTACTACTTTGCCTGCTGCTGGTACTTCCTGTGCCACCACTAGCTTCTACGACTGCTGCTGCTACTGCTGCTGCTGTCTGCTCCTGCCACCTGCTGCTGCTTGCTCTTGCCAATGCTGCTGCTAGGACAACGCCGAACACCACCTTACCGACGCCCCCACCACCGCCGATGCCCCCATCACCGCCACCACCACTGCAGACGCCCCCACCACCGCCACTACCACTGCCGACGCTCCCACCAACGCCACCACCACGATCACTTCCTCTCACGCCGGCGATGACTACCAAGACCACGATCATGATGACAATAAGGGGCACAACGTAGACAATAGCCACCATCATGGATACGACCATGACAACGACGGCACACAGTCGAGAGATTGTCATCGTCATTGATTGTGGCGTATATGTATGTTTTAGGCTGACCATGTGCCCTGCTGTTTCACTTGCAAGTACAGGCCGCTAGACGGTTGCTTCGGGACTCGGGCAGCTCATCGTCATCATCAGTATCATTACATATCATTATCATCATCACCATCATACTTGTCATCATCAGCAACTCCAAACTTTGCGGCTTTTGCTTTCTAGGTGCGGTTGCGGGAACAACCTGCTGTTGACCCTGGCGCTGCTCCTGATTGCTGGGGGCTCCATGGTCACCGCAGCCATCGGTGACGGCTCAGGCCCTTCCTGCCTGGAACTGCAGAGAATGCCAGTCATGTTTGATTCGATGCCATATGAGTACGAGGACGCAGTATGCAGGGACGCCACATGTGTTGTTCTCTGCATAATGTTGGTGTTGTGAAGTCCTAGTTGTGGACCCCTGGCATTTGATGGCACTGACAGACCAGCTACAGTATGAAAGATTTGAATCGGGCGTCCTGCAGCGCGAGGGCCACTTGCTTTGCTGATGATATTGATCTCGGGATGTGACTTGGGTACGGAAATTTCGCAGAACGGTCCTATGCTTATAAATCTTTTTCTAAACTCCCGCTTCAGTCGCTGCATTTCCCTCATTTTCCCTCAACTTCCTAAGAATGCCTCCGCCAATTGCTTGACAAAACCCATTCCATGCCACCCGCGCTTTGCAGCTGTAGCTCAGACCTTGGGCATTTTGGCCAGGATCTTGTCAACAACTGCTCTTGGGTAAGCTGGCATCAGAAATGGGCTAGCCGGATGATTTGGAGATTATGTAGACTTGGCTTGCTAGAACGGAACCACGACGCGCATTTGAAGAAGGACTTCCTCAATCCCCCTATGCCATATGCCCTAGCATTTCCAAAGAGCCTTGTTCCCTCCTACCGATCTCGTGGGGTCAATGTAGCTATGTTGAGACTGGGACATTCTGCATCCACCAAGGAAGATGTCACAAGGTATAGTACCCCTTAATTAGATAGAATATGGCTTTGGGCAAGTTAAATAAGATCCCCATATACCCCATATTCTATCCACTTAAGGGAGACTGTAATTGTAGTTGCCATTCTATTTTCCATTATCTCAATATCTCCCCTATATAATCCATATATAGCCCTCGTAATTATGGTATCAACTTAAGGGGGACTATATTAGATGCTATGCTTTTGACAGCTCCTTCGGCTTCGCAGGCGGGTCATGGCAGGGCGATCTCCTGGGCATCTTCCTGCAGGCTGGGATCTTGGTGTCTAAGGGGGCTTATGATGGGTCACCACTTAATGCTGGACATGTAGGGAGACAATGATACTGCAAAATCAACGCGGCTTGTATGCAGCACCGTCATTGCTGCGCAGGTCTAAGATCTCAGACAGGCTGTCCAGCAGTGCTGCATGTGCCAGACAATAGAATGTCGAGGGCATCAATGAACTGAACCCTTGAATTGGGTTGCTCTACGGACTCGTCAGGACGGGTAGGTAATAGGGTCTTCATCAAGGACTGCCACAAAGGGACACCATGATACATGTTTTGTCAAGGTAGTTTGTGAGGGCATATGTGGAACTGGGATTCCGCCAGTGCCCAGAACCATGAGATGAGGTAGTCCAGGCTTCAAAGAGCATCAAAGCAGGCACCTTGCATTTTTTCAACCCTGACATGAACCCCAGAGAAATGATACATGGGAACAACCCTTTTGGCATATGGGACTTTCCATTTATTGGGGGTCAGGAGTTCATGAAAAGCAGCATGTTTGACCCGATACATACATCGATACATACCCCGATACATACCCCAACAACGTCCCTTTCGTCAAGAGAACAGTACTACGATACATACCCCCGAAACATACCCCAATCCAAACATGCATTTTTGACCACGGCTTAGCCGGAAACACCCCCATGTACTGGTTAACGGTTATCCCTATCACTTTTGTGGGAGGTTGCCTCCAGCTTGGCTTACGCTCTCAAGTTTGCAGTGGCCAAGATGTTGCTGCTTGTCGCTGAGTGGAATGTACCTAGGAGATTTCCATTAAAAATATGGTCTCTTGTGGGAGCCCCTTTCATCAGGACTTACGGGTGTTCAGGGGCAACCGCCACCACTGTTCTTGGGGACAGCGTGATGTGAGGTCAAAGCATTAATGGCGCGCTTGAAAGCAGTGCTAGGTTCAACGCTGGCGATCCGGAGAACGCTTCGGGTGTTGATCCGGGCTCTCTTCCTCCCTCCAAGGTTCAGATTGCGTTTGTGGTCAATCCGGTCACAGGCCCCCCACCTCGCTTTGATTGCAGCTGCTTAGTGGATTGCTGGTAATTATTCAGTTAGCCCTTCCTGTCTCTGACGCAGGGCTGATGAGCTTGCTGTTCTTGCCCTTCTTTGAGAGCAACTTCGAGCTTCCTGAGTTGGACACGACTATTGTTGTCGGGATCTGTGCAACCGGGATTTTGGTCTTCGAGCTGCTTCTGACGGAGCTGACGTCCCCCCTCACAGTGTCGTGGCCTCAGCCGCAGTCAACAACAGGCAACAAGCAGTCAGGCTACTGCCAATTATGAGTGTTGTTCTCGGGGCGCTGCGTTGACTGTCCCGTCAGGTCTGTCTTGGGGGTGATGCACAACGTTGTTATAGTTCTCTTCTTCACGCTCCTCGGGGAGAGGATGAGCACTGGTCAGGCCACAGCTATGATTGTAGCGGAAGATAGTCATTTGATTGTCAGCCTGTTGTGTGTATCCCTGCCTTGGCAGTTGCTTGCGCTCGAGTGCGCTTAAGAGGGAACCGATGCACTTCTGCCGCACATGCTTAACTGGGGTACACTAACGAATCTTACTGGCGAGATGCATGCCCCAAGGTCGGTGCTCGCTAGGATCGGCGATAAGTCATGACATCTCCAGATGGGTGTTTGATGTCGAAATCAGCTTGGGAGGACTGAGGAAAGTAGCGGTTAAATTGCCAGATGAACGCCTCGGGGCTTAGCAGGCTTAGCATCCCCCAAGATGTATTCACACGAGCAATCCCTTCGAAGGTTAAACTCGTAATAAGGCAGTGCGACATGTCTGCTGCATGATGCGGCAACTGCATTTTGGGGCCATTTTGGGGACCAGGAAGAGGCATCGTAATAGCAATGGCGCCAAGTCGTTTTTTGAGCAGCTTTCGGAACCATCTAAGACGCATTGACGTGGTGGTCATGTGCCTTCGTGAGGGGCAGTGCACTTTGCAGCGATGGCCTTACCAAAGCAGAGGGGCCTGCCTGCCCTCCTAGTGCTCCTCTGCTCACACCTCTGGTCGTGTGTGGGGCAAACGTATTCCGGGTGCTGCCTGGCTTTCTGGCCAACATGCCTAAGGGCAGAGGCATATGACGGCGAGACGCATGGGCTACGGTGCTCGCCGGGGCCGGGCGTAAGTCATGCGCACCTCCTGCTCTTCCCTAATGGAGCGGGTTCGTGCGGCTGGATGCGTAGCATGGGAGGCCAGCAGCGGAACTTCAGCCAAGCAAGCTGAGTCGTTGGTTTTGTACGGTTCGTAAAGCTGCAGCGGCCAGCAGCCGTTGTCGATCGTTTTCTCAGACGTTGCGTGCCTGTTGTGGGTCCTAGGCTTTCGTGCTATTTTGTGTTTTGCATCTTTCCGTGCCAACCAAGCCCGGGGTTACAGAGATGGCCAGCTTCAAGAAAGGGCTGTTTTTACTACTGCTACTGCTGCTACTGCTACTATTTATTATTTTTCTACCGGTCCTTATAAGGAAGATGTTTTCAGAGACTCCCAGCAGCAGCACAACGAAATCTTGGGGACATGAGCACGTGATCATGTCAGTTTTTAACAGTCACGGACGTGCTCAGTTTCCTCGCTGCAGACGACACAACGCTTGAGGACTGCAGGGCATTCCACTGTAAGTTCAAGACATAGTTGCGAGTATGATCATGAGATGCTGATGACTGATGAAGAACTTCTGAAACACGAACCTTGTTGGGTACCTCAAGTCGAACTCAATCTAAGATCCCTGAGCCCAAGAGTGCCAGATTGTCGGATTTGCTGTCTCGACCCTGGGCGCGATCTGCTACGCCTGCGCGCGCAAGCGACAGGCCAGGCATTTATCAAGGGTCTTGCGCTGGAATTTCAACTGGAACCTCTGGTTTCATGGATCCTTGTGGGAACCATAGTACGTCTGTGTGGCTTGTGTAGTATAGATTCTATACTGCGTACCATTTTAGTGCCGACTTTGGTTCCGATTTCTAATCCCTTGAATTTGGTCGCGGGGGAAGGGTTCGCCTTACCAACGAGCCCTACATGATTCGAAACCCCCAAAACCCTAAACCCTGAAAATCCCCATTTCCGCGGGCTAATGGACCATTAGCGGGACCCTTTCTTTGATCCCTTGGCTGAGTTGTTTGCATCTCCAAGCCCGGACCTCATGGTTTCGAGGTCAGAGGTTTAAGGCCTAGGCTAGGGCCCTACAATGGAGTTTTGCTTGCAGTCTGTGCTGGAAAGGGAGAGGAGGGGGAATCAGGTGTCTCCGAGTTGGGCATCAAATGCTTCCTTTTCGAGTCTCTTACCGAGGTGGAGTAATTTTGGGAATGCATCTTTGCTGCTGGCAATGCATGGCACCATCTGCAGCACTGCAAAATTCCAACTTGCCAAGAGTAAAGCCGGCCAGAATGGCTTGACTTCCTGGCAAACTCTTGGTTTTGCAATCAAACCAGTTCACGCAGTATGTTTGCATGCAAAGCTGCCTCCCAAAGGCCAAGCGCGGTGGTCTCCTCACTTCAAGATCGGAGGACTGCTTTTTCAGTAGGGAAGGGAGGAAGAAGGGCCTCATGATTCTTGTGCAGATGCTTGCTTGTCCTCTTCGAACATGCCCTCGCCAACCTGACACTTTGTCCAAATTTGGGGTTCCTTTGTTGGAAGACCTTTCCGCAGCACGGCAGGCTTGGGGGTTGACTATAGGGGACGCAATTTCGAAAACATTCTTGTGCGTCGAAGCATAAATGTGTGTACGCCTGCTCTGTAGTTATGGTGGAGGCGCCCAGTGTGTGAGATGGGGTCACCAGTGTGCTGCACACTACAACTTCCATTGCCCATCCATCTTGACGATGGCAACATGGATGCAAAATCCATTTGAGCTTGACTTTCGGCAGCCTGGTGGTCATGTGGTAAGTGTCTGTAGTTTCTTGTTCTGTCGAGTTCGCAGGCGTGCTGTTTTTCACCAGGGGTATGGGGTTCTAGTATATCCAAGAAGAGGCACTGGAAACGTCCATACACACCTTTCTGTGCTTTTGGAGGAAATGCGGCGAGCAAACTCTGGCGTTGAAGAGGGAATGGAGGAGCTGTAGAGACGGATGCTTCGGATGCTTCAAGACTTCAAAGGCACTCTTGCATCACCTATGGCGACAATGGCAATTGCTAAAGCCTGTGAATCCTCCCCAGTAGCTCCCGGTAGCAATGTGTAGCTCACGGTAGCAATGTTACTGCTGCCAAGGCATGACCCTAACCTCAAGCGTGTGTGACACATGGGAGCATCAAGCGCTAGTACGGCGTAGGCTCTCTTTAGCTGCTAGCCGTTCTTTGCGAAGACTGCGAAGCAGTCCTCGCCTGGAACTGGCCAGCACACCGGCGTCTTGGGCCGCCAGGAAAAAGGGGCCATCATGATAATAGCTGTTGTCATTATTACTGTTATTGTTGCTTAGAAGCCACGAATCAAGAACCGCCGAGAACTGCTCATAGTCATTTTCTGCTACTGTACCAGTGACCGTGGCCTTGCCATCTCCGTATGCAGCGGCGCAGTGCATCCATGTGGAGTGCCCAGATTTGTTTTGATTGCCTTTGCGTTCCTATACCCGGAGCCCAGAATCCTAATAGAACTGAGCCCCAAATGTTCAGCCTTGCAGGACAAACCATCCTAGCCTTGAAGACATGAACCCAATCTTGAATCTTCAGCCTTGAATGCCGGACACTGCGAAGGCAGCACTGGCTCTGAGATGACTTGGACGGCTGAGAGGCTCGACCCCAAGGCCCAGAGGGCAATCTGTGTCTGATGAGAACTTGACGCACGGAGACTTCTGTCAGAGGGGTAGGATGTGGTAGGATTTTTATCTCCTCTTGGATGCCCAGCTTTCGAGCATCTGACTAGATTCTGCAGTCAAAGACATGTGTGCCAGGCCGCCAGGCCACTTAAGGTTTTTTCGGTGCTTCGCGAATCCCATTCTTCTCGGAAGTGTATACCATAGACCAGGGTCCGCAGTTGGCCATGCGCATATCGGTGCTTAAGGGCTTTCATGAGGATGCTGAATCCAGGGCCCGCCCAGGCCAGGCATGCAAGGACATCCTGAATCGAATTCAGCATTTCCAGTTCCAAATTGGTAGCAATTCTTTTTCTGTGAAGCAGGCTTGTGCTGCTGGGCAATTTGTGCAACGTAGCTCCCGTGCGTCCAGGCCTCCTGCTGGACCATCGAGCCAGTACTGCCGCAGGCATACCAGACTGCAGAACGTTCAAGCCGGCAGAAGTTCCAGTCTTTCATTCAATGGCTTCGGGGCTGTTTGGGATTGCGAAGCTTGTGCGTGCATGAGGTGCCAGTTCGCATTGGGGCAACCTTGGCCGGCACCTCAGAACGCAAGTCCAACACAGCAGGCAACTTGCACTTCAAAGCATTCCAGCGAGCAAGCAAGATGGCAGTTGGACACGCGGGAGCTCAGCGGACCATCTAGTACGTGCAGCTTCGTGTTCTCAAAATCGCACATGAGATGCGACAGGTCTGGAGCCACATTCAGGGACTGGCCCGCTGCTGAGCATTGTGTGCACATAAGCATGCGCAGCAAATACGTCTTCTCATGAACAGCGCAAGTCCATATGCAGTATGACGATTTTGGACTGTCATCAGCTTGGCATACTGTGCCGGCACGCATTGCATTCCTACGGGCTCTCCGTCCAATTCCTGATAGCCACTTGAACTCGAGTGGGTGTTGCCAAGGTGTCCATTGGCGGTGTGGTAGGCGGCCAGTCTTGCCCAACAGCATCCACGGAATGTGCTTGGCTTAGGCTTGATGAGCTTGCATGTTTGATTGCATCCTTGTTTCTCCACACCCACAAGCCCACAGCGCTGAGGCCTGACGCTACAGCGCCACGGAGAGACCATGTGGCTTCAGATTCCCAGTTGGAGGATGTCTTCACACATGCTTGGTCGACTCGTATCATCTTGTGAGTTTGCAAATATTTTTGTCAGACTTTCTGGTTATGAGCTCATCAGCATTTCCTACGCTTTCGCAGGATACCCCGCTTGGCGCCTGCAGTGGCAACATCCTGCGAGGCAGATCTCGGAGAAAATTCTGGTTTGTGATTGGCTGTGGGTGGATCAAGTACGCTTCCCTACTGGAGTCCAGAAGCATGTGCGATTGCCTAGCAGGACGGCCATTCGCTACACCCTGACGCGCGTTCAGAGCCAGTAGGGTAAGATATCATGAGCACGACAATGATCAGGGGAACATCTTCATCATGGGCGGCAGCCACAAGAAAGAGGCAACTCCGTCAATTTTCTTGGGGCTAACTTGCATCCCTGTGCGGGAATTGGGCACAGTTTGGGCCTTTGAGAGAGGAGAACGCTGAGATGTTCTGCTAAGTAACGTAGGAAAACGCTGCTGTCATACTTGGAAGAACCCGCCGAATGTTTTACCAGCCAGGCCTCCAACTTTACGGAGATGTGGCTGCAAGAGCAGCAATGCTGGCGTGTGCCGGGCTGAGCCAACGCTTTGGTGTGCCGAGTTCGTTGACAAAAGCTCAAAGGCCCTTGCTTGAAGCCACGCTGAGGAGCTTCCTCCAATGCTGGCTGCCCGTGAGGGGGCTTTTGCAGCTATTCTCCGATGACGGTGTCAATCCGGCTGCGGATCCTCAAACCTTTCGGGTAACAGTGCCCTGACAAGAAGCCAGCAATAGCCAGCACAGCAGCGCAAGAATCCTCTTCACAAGGAGCCGAGATGGGACATCCAGCCGCATCTGGTCCTTGAGTTTCTCTGCCATGACGTGGAAGCGAAGGGATTTGGGCCCGCTTCAGATGGATGCCAAAATCATTCTTGCTTGCAGCATAGTGCAACAGAAGCTGCGACCATGCTCATGGACTTCTACCTCGGAAACTTATCCCCATGCTGCTAACTTTCCTCGTGCTACGGGGCACAGGAGTTCTCAAAACAAGGTTGTCCCTATACAATCGTTATCAGGGACCCCAAGAATTCCTTCACAATGTACACATATTTCTAGGGGCTCCCGATTTCTAGAACTCTCCATACTCCATGAAGCCCTCAGCTGCAGGCAGCCAGCCGAATTGTTTGAAAGGCTCAGACATCATATCGATGCGTACTCTCACAACGCAACATAGTAGAAGACATGGCATGGCACAGACAACACGACTGCAATTCAGATGTGTGTGTTCAGAATACAAGGCATTCGTTCGACCCCTGCAACCAGCTTTTAATGTACGTCAGCTTTAGCTGTTGGAGCCAGGATGCTGCAACCAATGGACCAACATTGCAGCATATTGCTACACCTTGAGCTGACTAGAGCCGGTGTGGGACGGCAATGTGTGCCATCCCAGTGGAATCATGCTCACATGAACACCAGAGCCGTGAAAGCGCAACAAGCGCGCCACCTTAAGTCAACCCCGTCCATGCCACGTATAGTCCCCCTAAAGTAGATAGAACATGGGGTATATGGGGATCTTCTTCTAACATACCCAAAGCCATATTGTATCTACTTGAGGGGGACTATAGGTTGCAGAATAACGTCTGCAGTTCAGAGCATGTGCCTTAGCCATGGTCACCTGAGCTGGACTTTCTGGTAGCTTGGAGGACCTTGCGCGTGAGCCAGGATGTGGGTTGTTCGAAGTTCTGCATTTGCCTCAGGCCTTGTGCTCTCCAACAAGGGTATGGATTCCTTAGGTGCAGTGGCAATGCTAGTCATAAACACCACTTTCTTTTTAATGTTGATGTCGGCGCCCCATCACATGCACTGGCTTCAAGGTATGTGCTGCTGCTGCTGTCCGGAAGTGCGGACTCGCTGATACCTCATTTGAAATTGGAGCGCGCGCAGGCGGCAAGAGCCAACATAGTCCTGCTTGCAAAATAGTACAGGAGAAAATTTTCTGCATTTGGGCCACAAGTTTTTGTTTCACATTGAGAACATTATCTTACCCCTAGAATCTAACCCTATATATGCCCTCATATAACCGTCTATACTATACCCATGTATAACCCTCAAAGAACCATATAGTTACTATAGCAGTTTCCATTATCTTTTCCGTTTTCCCTATATACTACACACAATCCCTATACTCCCCCCTACAATCTGTGCTGCAGAAGCCGGTTTTCGGCAACTCGAGCGCTGTGTCAGCGGCATGGCAGGCATCGGTTAGTACGGTGGTTCATCTCAAAGTTCTGATCGGACAGTTAGGGTTTAGGGTATACGGTTTAGGGTTTGGGGCTTAGGGTTTAGGGTCCACGTGCGGGCCTCAGCTCAAAAAGGGTTTAGGGTCGCTGTTAGTAAGCCAAGTGCGATCTTGCGGACGAGGGAGAAGGAAGGTGCAAGGACACGTGGGGCTATGGACATATGGGTGATTTGACGCAACCCCATGACTTTGACAAACTCGTGCATGCAACCTGGTCCAACCTGACAAAGGAAGACGATGTGCACACAAACGATCCCACCTTCATTTTTTACATGCTGGACATTCTGCTGCATATGGGGCAACAACAAGGAGTGTCAGCGTTGCAGCGTTTGGATTTAAAAGTGACGACTCTTTGACGATTGGAGCCTGCAATCTGTTCCAATAGCCTCTTGAAACAATTGCTTGTTGGTTGCCGCGATGTGTAACTATGGTGGAACTTGCCCGTGGAGGTTAGAACAAACAGAAGCATGTCTCATGGATTGCCAACAGCTACTTCCAGCCGTGCATTTGCACTTCAGCTCGCAACGTACATGGGGATCTCGGCCTCGCACCGTCGTGACCCTTCATGTACCGTAACAGTTTCTCTTGACAAAGTGGCCGCTGCAGACAACCGCGGAGCCGCAAAACAAGGAACATCTGTTGGTAGATGCACCCTATATTGCTCCCTCCAGCTCGTCCGAACAAGGGCCAAAAAAGCCAATCCACATTCGTGTGCCGATTTCTTGCTGCATGCAGGCACAAATTATTGGGGCCAAGCGCCGGGCCCTAAAGGCCAGACAGACTGGAGTTTACTTTTCATTTTTTTCTTGGGTCGTAGGAGCACAAGAACATCCAATAGCCGCGGTTGAGTTTTGCATGTGCAGGTTTAAAAATACACGTGTATGTGCCTTTTGGTATGCATCCATGAATCCTTCGTACTACAGCGTGCAGCATAGGTCTACGTATATGGACGTGTACACACGTTTATGTGCAAAATGTGGGCACTTTGTATGTGAGCCGTGCTGGGCAAAGGCTGGCAGAGCCAGTCGCCCTTGGCGGCCACACTCGCCGCTGGCGGTGCCTGCAGCTGGGCTTCAGCGATGATCGCGGAACATGTTACACGTTTCTCAACATTATGGATATTATTGGGTTTCCCCACTGGGAGGATCCTGTGACAGTTCAATTCAGCATGAGCAAGTACTCGAGTAGCATAGCGGCAAAGCAGTGCTGCTGCAAAACCCTCAGCAATGCATAGGAGGGGCACACCTGTACGCATGCACACGTAACACGTACCGAAGGTACAAGACAACAGGCAGTAGTTGCTTGTGACGTACCCGGTAAAGAATGCATCATGTGTGGATGGATCTGAGAGGAAGAGTAGTTTTGTGGTTTGCAGGGCTTGGGTTCTGCTAGAAGAAAACAGACAGCCAGACATCCAAGTCCAACAACTGCAGCAACCTTTCACTGCAGCAGCCTGAACCGTCATGTTATCCGAAACACGCCCCTGCCTCAGACAAGCTTCGGCGCTGCAGAAGTGAGCGAGCTGATTCTTGGCATTTTTGCAGACTTTGCTGCCTGTAGCCCATGTTGAGCATTGAGTTCTACTCGGGTTGAGGGTTCAGTGATATGGCTTTTCTTGACGTTAAGAGCTGCTTGAGGCGTGCTCGTCCGGGCAATGTACTGTAGCTGTACGCTCCGTCAATGTGCCATTGAATAGGAACCTTTGCGCAAGCTCCGCGCAAGGCCCAGAACTGGAACTGCTGTCGTCATCTACCCTGCACATGATTCCAGCGTGGCCATCAGCGGCTTTCCAGCAGGTATTTGACAAAGCCACTCTGGACAGTTCAGCTGCTTTTCCTTGCTGAAGTCTCCTTTCTTCCTTGTGGAAGACATCCGCCAGCCATAACCCCTAAACCCAGGTATTGATGGACAGATTCAGTGCGTTCTGGAGCTGGAGAGGCTCTTCAAAGAACGATACTACTGGCCACGCCTGCAGGTTCCACCTGCACTTGTTGGCCACATGAGCTATAGCCTAAGGGGCCCCATTTTTTAAAGGATTTTTTTGGTTTTATTTTGGGATTTTTTTTGTTTCTGTGACTCCTGCTCATGTGTGGTGCCTATT